GGGTAGATAGAAGACAAGACTAGTTTTAAAAGGATCACTGAAAGACGAGTTTGTAGCCGAGCATTCATACCTGTCTTGACGTGCAGTTCCGTCCTCCGCTCTGATTGACATCTGAGATGCGTGGGATTGGCTGTCACTTAATCGTCGCGAAAACTAAAATAAAAACCGAGTAACAACGCCTCACAACTTGTACACAGCAGTTAGGTCTTTCAGGTCGAATGACAGACGTCTTTCAAGCGAGGTAAATATTTGGAGCGCGACGAGGCTGGAGTCTGTTGTTTTGGCTCTTTGAGTTTATTCTGTGTCCACTCATTTTTTACATAAGTACTTCATATCTTTCTTTCTCCAGCCACGTCCGTTTATAATTAATGATGGACGAAGCATTGCAAGCTTGCCTGTTTCCGCTGATGGGCAGCGAGGTAGAAAGGAGGAAATTATAGACATGAATCTTGTTTATGGCGAAACAGCGGATGAGAATGAAGAAGCTGTGGATTCGGGCCAAGGAGAGCAGAAGAAACCGGAAGTGAAAAGGAACTTTGTTTATTACTTCCGGCACCCTTACTTCCGCATTACTACGTCGTACTTGGTCGTGTTTTGCAACTTCTTGATCTTTGCTGAGGACCCAGTCTCCCACAGCTACACGGATTGTGTTATTGACATCATTGGCAATATGTATGCGTTCGTATTTTCAAGGTAGGTTGTTTACCACATCTTTTGTGGTAACGAAATATTTGTTCAGGCTTATGTTCCCAGAAACTCGAAATGCATGTCCCCTTTCTTTGTCTACCTTCCAGGTTGTACTTCAAATTCTCGCATAGATTACATCTTTAAAGTAATCGTATCATGTATGGCATGCTTTCACGACATAGTTTAGGAATCTCTCGCTTCAATTTGGTTAGGGTGTTGTAACTGCCCTTCACACACTCAAGATGCATAGAGTGGGAAGTGCATCAAAAAGTCGTTAACTCAGTTACACGACCAAACAACAACAACAGCAACAACAGACTTTAATGAGTAACACCACTTTGCAACTCCATTATCTTCACGAAATCACGTTTTCCAAACCAACAAGCTCAGAATAGTTCATTTCCGCGGCAAAAATCAGTCTTGAGTAACGAAGCGTGGTGACTACCACCTATTCTTATTTCGCTTCTTCTTCTTCTTTGGTTTCGGCCGCCATATTGGTTTCTTAGGAGCAGGAGGCAAATTAGCAGCAGATCTCTTGCCATTTTTGTCTTTGTATGCCTGCCTACGAGCGAAAAAAATAACATTAGAATCATTTATGACCTAATGGTGTTCTCTCAATAAGACAAAGCATCAAGGGCGCATTGGATGAAATCAACCGTCAACCAAGACGATTGTGAAAGTGTTTTAGTTAGTGTGCAATAGTAGTCTGTAGCCAGAGCCTGTATTCCCCTTGACAGGTGGCCGGGAAACGTGAAGTCCTTTGCGTTTCCCGGCCGCTGGTTAAGGTGGGTGCAGGCTCTTGATGGGAGATTGGTACAATTGCTGTGTTATAGTTGTTTGGGTTTCTTTAGTAAATGAAAGGTTTAAACTCCACAACCTTTGATTCACAAAAGCGCGGAGGAGAGTGTCCAGGTGGTTCCAAATTGATTCAGTTAACACATTTCCCGTAACCCTGAGAACTTTAAGTCACTGAGAGAAGACGTTGATCCTGTATTAAGATACACCTGCTATATATCAAGTCGCCTTCGTGCTTATTCTAGTTACGAGTGACCAGCGACTTCGCGGGGGAGGGGCCGGTAGGGAATCAGTGTGGGATGAACGCAACGACCTAGACGCCCATCGTTACAGACAAAGCTTTTAATCGTCACAACTCACCATCGTCGTTGAATGAAGTTCACTGCACATGAAGCCAACAGATAGAAGGCAAGGAGAAGAAAATTCAGAACCAAATCGATAGACATCACGTAGAAGACATCTTGCCAAGTCATGGCAATAACGAGATCCTGAACGTGTTTCACGTTCCCTGTTGGACAAAAATTTCTGATAAAAAATAAATACATTTGGAATAGAGAAGCTACTGATAATGTGGATAAATGATTCATGAAGGTGGTTTTGCTTAAATTAAAAGAGGGAAACAAAACCAAACACCGAGATATTGTCGTAAGTAAGAAGTGAATGAGATTAACCTGAGAAATAGGGAAAAAAATTTCTTTCTTGCAAATGAAACCAGTTTGTCGCCGCAAAACAGATTTTTTTTCCCTTATGAGTCTGACTGCTATTTCAATTGTTATTTAAGCAAATCGATATACGATAAGTTAGATTAATTAATGAACTGATTTAACTCATCTTTCCTGGAGTATTGTCTTGCCACCATCATTGAAATAAACGACAGTCATAATGTTATCACAATATCTTCAAACTACACACTAGATTGGTCCTTCACTTACTATCCATATATTCGCCATAAAACCCAGCAGCAACATCAGTTACGTAGTTGAACTCAACAATAAAAGGTTTTCCAGCCCATGTAACTCCATCCCAGATATAGCCGTTCATCCAAGTAATTTCATTCGAGGTCAACTCGGTCAACCACTTAAGCTCATCCCAGATCCACTTGGCGAGCCATGAGAGTTTATCACAGATCCAATCGGCCATCCATGTAACTTCATTCCAGATCCTAGCAGTCATTGTAATAGTAATGCTATGAAATTTGCTCCATGCCTGTGTTGCCATTGCCACTATAGAGTCCCGTGCATGTGATGTAGTTGCAACTGTGAAGTCCCATACTCGGGTCATGGGACCAAGGGATCTGGTTTTGCAGGTATCGTAGCGGGGATATGTGGCATTTCGGATATACTTGCGAAAGGTATCGAACGTGTGGATCTGACAACAGCAAGAGAAAAGATGAGTGCAAAGATATGGCATGGCCAAGCACAAAAAACTCATTATAAAACGAAAAACAATATATGATATTTTGCCAAAAACCACCTTTCACTGAAATATAATACAGGTTTGTGAACGAGAAAAAGAAGTTAAAGTTGTTTTTTGTGTCCTTTTTAATGACACTGGCTTCCTTTTTTGTGCGCCGCAATTTTTTGGGATCACCGCAGATCCACCCAAAAACTATACGGCCGACAAAACTAATTGAGTGGCTAGTCTACCGTGAGAAGACGTATTTCATCCAGTGTCGCGATCTTTAAATTTATTGAACAATCAGTTAGAGCAAAGTGTAGACAAAAAGAATTGTTAACCTCAATCACATAACCCTAAAACAGAAAAGAATGTATTTGAACAAGTGATTGCTCACTTTAAGATGAACATTTGGATGAAAATCATCCTTATGTTGGTGGGTTTGGTTGCCGTAAATTTCAAATGCACCAACCTCGTTTATAATCTTCTGATGTCCCTTTGGGTTGAGATCTTTGAAGAAATCCTGCCTCTGAACGGCTTGTGGAGTTTCTGCAAAAACGTTATTAAACTATTAAGTAGTTCATTCTGGTTTGAAAATAAACTTTTTCGTGTAGGAGCCAGGTTATTTTGTTTTCTAGAGTGGCAGAAAAGCCAGGAAAACAAAGCTAGTAGCAAAATATCAATCAATTGCTAGTATTTGCTTGCTTATTTATTTATTTATTTATTTATTTTTTGAATGAGTATTCAATCTCTAGTCTCNTAGTAATGCTATGAAATTTGCTCCATGCCTGTGTTGCCATTGCCACTATAGAGTCCCGTGCATGTGATGTTGTTGCAACTGTGAAGTCCCATACTCGGGTCATGGGACCAAGGGATGTGGTTTTGCATGTATCGTAGCGGGGACATGTGGCATTTCGGAAATACTTGCGAAAGGTATCGAACGTGTGGATCTGACAACAGCAAGAGAAAAGATGAGTGCAAAGATATGGCATGGCCTAGCACAAAAAACTCATTATAAAAAGAAAAACAATATATAATATTTTGCCAAAAACCCCCTTTCACTGAAATATAATACAGGTTTGTGAACGAGAAAAAGAAGTTAAAGTTGTTTTCTCTTTCCTTTTTAATGACACTGCCTTCCTTTTTTGTGCGCCGCAATTTTTTTGGATCACCGCAGATCCACCCAAAAACTCTATGGCCGACAAAACTAATTGAGTGGCTAGTCTACCGTGAGAAGACTTATTTCATCCAGTGTCGCGATCTTTAAATTTATAAAGCAATATTAGAGCAAAGGGTAGACAAAAAAAATTGTTAACCTCAATCACATAACCCTAAAACAAAAAAGAATGTATTTGAACAAGTGACTGCTAACTTTAAGGTGCACTTTTGGATGAAAATCTTCCTTATGTTGGCAGGTTTGGTTGCCGTAAATTTCATATGCACCAACCTCGTAAATCAAGCTTCCGTTTATAATCTTCTGATGTCCCTTTGGGTCGAGATCTCTGAAGAAATCCTGCCTCTGAACGGCTTGTGGAGTTTCTGCAAAAACGTTATTAAACTATTAAGTAGTTCATTCTGGTTTGAAAATAAACTTTTTTCGTGTAAGAACCAGGTTCATTTTGTTTTCTAGTGTGGCAGAAAAGCCAGGAAAACAAAGCTAGTAGCAAAATATCAGTCAATTGCTAGTATTTGCTTGGTTATTTATTTATTTATTTATTTATTTTTTTGAATGAGTATTCAATCTCTAGTCTCGAGTCTTTCGTGCTGAATATGGATTGGAAAGAATACATGTAACCGTTGGAGCGCGCGCTTCAAACTACAAAAAAAGACACACGCGCTAAACCACTGGGGAGATTACCATGGCAACCGAAACAACATGTTTAGTTTCCGACGAATTTACAGCAAAGTTTGTAAGTTTGTAAAATTTGGCATCGGCGAGAAAAATAGAGTTTGGGCTCACAGTCTGGAAGACATTCTTTTCGCTGCCAGCAACTTACAAACTAGGAAATTTGGTGAAGAAACTTAATGTCTCCTGATGAGAAAATACCTATTTCATGCGCAAAATTACACAGTGCGAAAAGAAAAAGAAAATTAGAAAAAAAAAAAAGAAGAAGAAAGACTCGATCGCGAGCGAATTTCTTACCTTGCTGTTTAAAAGTCTGCGCAACTTCCAATAACAGAAAGGACAACGATAGCACAGTAATCCAAATCATCAACTTCATGCTGATAACGAACTTTTTTTCTTCTCACGAAAAACAAACAGCTTGTTCTTTCCGCGAGAATAAGCAAAGTGAAGGTCTGACGCCACAATAAGTGCCTATGACGCGCTGCGCGAGAGATAGTCAAGGAGACTCGCTACCAGGCCTTTTGTCTTTCCTCAACCAAAGCAATTAAAAGTCTTAAACTGCAGTCTTTCTGAAACGTTTTTGTTTGCTCAGAACTCAGTTATTTTGTTTACGATTTTCACTTGGAGGGATGTGTATAGTAAACACGTTGTTTGATTGCTAAGACATGCACGAAAATTACAACAAGCATAAGCACTGCGCTGCGCAAAAGTTAACAGTCTCTTGGACAAAAGTCGGTATAAGGGTTTNTTTTGTCTTTCCTCAACCAAAGCAATTAAAAGTCTTAAACTGCAGTCTTTCTGAAACGTTTTTATTTGCTCAGAACTCAGTTATTTTGCTTACGATTTTCACTTGGAGGGATGTGTATAGTAAACACGTTGTTTGATTGCTAAGACATGGACCAAAATTACAACAAGCATAAGCACTGAGCTGCGCAAAAGTTAACAGTCTCTTGGACAAAAGCCGGTGTAAGGGTTTTAAATGTAATAAACACAACAGGCCAATTCTAGCAACCTTGTGCCGCTGTTTCAAAAGGAGTCCTCGTGCTAAAGCTTTCATGTGAAAATGAGATTGATTTGCATAAAAAGGAACTTGTAGGTTGAACACATTTTCATAAGAATGGTTTCGCCCGAAGGCTCGTTTTGACACAGGGGCAAAAGGCAGTTAATAATAATAATAATAATAATAATAATAATGATAATAATAATAATGATAATAATGATAATCTTTATACAGTAGGCTCCACTCATATTCTTAAATGGCCTATTTGTTTCTCCAGAGTTCATAGCTTGATTTTTCAAATTGTTTTCAGATATCCTCCAGACGCAGGATTCGTCGCTCTCAAAGTCTTCATGTACCTTTTTGCCATCGGCTTGGGAATGTTTGTGGGAAAGTATTTTATTCACAAATTTCTCTTTTGTCGTGTTCTGAAGCTGCGCATGTTCTCTGAGGATGGCCAAGGGTCATGGATGGTGATGTTCCTCACCGTGCTCATGTTTCTGTTCATTATAAGCTTCATATACAACGAGTTGTTGCTTCTCGGCGGAGACCACTTTGCACCTTATGTCACCAGTAGTAATTTGGGAATCGAGAATCAGACGTTCATGAAGATGGCTGCTATAGGCACTTGGTTAGGCGACTTTATTACAGCTTGGATGGTGACCGACATGATGCTACAGGTAGCAATGCGTTTACTGTTGCATTAGGGAGTTTAAGAAAACCACGACGTCGCTAAACAAAAGGTTTAATTAGCAGGACAATGGCTGTGCGCGTGCGTTATAATTCTTGGTGCATTTCTTAACCGTCTTCTGCAAGACAACATCGTGAAATGATCAAATTCTGCGTTTGGACTGGCGTGAACCGGACGGCCAATTTTAATTCCCTTTTCAAATTTATCGCTGTGTTCCTAAAAAATATAAAATAGAATATAAATTCCTTTTCTAATCGACGTTGTCCTCAGCGTCGCCATCGTAGTTACTTAAACTCCCTATTATGTGCTTTAAAACCAAGTGAGATGCATTGGCCTAATAGTTGCCTTGTTTTAGAAGCTCAGTTAGAGGCGGTGCAGCGCATGAGCGGGGATGGGGGGAGAGAGAGAGAGAAGCAAAAGAAGGCTTTATCATTATAGCTTTCCTGCGCAAGAGTTTTGGCCGAGGACTCTGTCTTGTCCTTTAATTTTGAGCAACAACTTTCGCTTCTCCAGCCAAGAGAATCATATGGTTCTCGCAAACTGTCATGTCAACCCACAAGAAATGCTAAGAGCAAACTCCCATGAACTGCATACCTTTTTAGGGAAAGTGTAAGTGTGTGTTAAAGTCAGACTTCTTACAAATTTTTAAGGTCTTAACAAATGAGGGGTAGTGACGTAGCAAGTTGTCCTATTTTGCTGTTTAGCCTGATCCTTCTGAAAAGCACTTTAGAGAACTCTTACTATGCAGAGGTCTTAAAACTATAGTCAAACCTCCCGTAAGCGACCACCCAAAATGTCAACCCCTGGTGGTCGCTTACGAGAGCTTAGACAATATTACGTCAAAATTTTGCCTCATTAGCATATGGTAACTGCAGATACTTACCCCCTGTTTAAATGTTTTGTTCATGTCAAAAGTCAATATCGAGAAAAAAATTCGGTACTTCCCATTTAGAAATTTCCGTCTCTTGTACTACCCTGGAATGTGATAATGTCACAAAATCTTATTATCCAATTTCCACTTTATTATCTGTCAAGTGGTCACTTATGGGAGATTAAAAACAAAAGAAAATTTCAAACTTTTAGCTCTAAAAGTGGTCGCGGTCGTTTACGAGAAGTGGTCGCTTACAAGAGGTTCCAAATATCGTGATTTGACTCAGAAACTTTTGGTATTTTGGAAAACTGGTCGCTGAGGAGAGGTGGCCGCTTACGAGAGGTGGTCGCAGCCGGAGGTTCGACTGTATTAATAATATTACAATTTGATGCAAAAGATAAGCAAAAGATAAACAAAACATTAACATTCAACAGCTTCGGGGCATTTTCACTTCCGAAACAATGAAACGGAGGATATAAATAAACAACTGCATGATCCGCCACAGTCCACAATAAGCTGCCTTGACACTCGAAGGTCCGCGATATTGCTTAACACTCGAACAAAGCATTTAGAAGCATTTAGCGAGGGTCTTCGTTGTGAAGTT